CTATCCCCGCTGATCCCTTCGCCGTGAGTGGCCCCTCCGAGTGTGGGACCCTCTCCCCTTCCCCAGCCCCCCACAGGGTACTGTCACACCTCCACCTTTCTTTCCTCTTTCCTTCCCTCCCACATCCTACCTGGTCATGCAGGGATTCCTCCCATCCCCTTAGGTGTCTGAGGATCACTATCAGTGCCTAGTAGGTGCCCTAGTTGTGAGGAGACGCAAACTCCATGTCCTCCTATTCCACCATCTTGACTCTGTTCCACAATTCACTTTTTTAAAAATTTAAGGTCTTCATTGTATTTATTACTTTTTCCATTCAGCACCGTTAAGATCTACCCACGACCTGAGTATTTTGTAACTTCCTGTGATCTCCTTTTGCACTGAAGACTTAAAAAGTGAATATTATTTGGTTCCAAAGCTTGTGCTTTTTAAAACTGTATTTTTTTTTACATCTTTATTGGAGTATAAATGCCTTACAATGGTGTGTTAGTTTCTGCTTTATAATAAAGTGAATCAGCTGTACATATACATATATCCCCAAATCTCCTCCCTCTTGCCACAATTCACTTTTAATTATGCCCCTTTTTTTTTGGTCCAGAAAATGCTACATTAAACTGTCATCACTGCTCTCCCTTGAGTTGCCACTAATCAGATTCTCTTTCCCGGATTCTGCTTGTTCTGGGGAATCAGTAACCCAACTTTCCCATATGGGAAATGTTCAGCAGGGTCAGTAAGACTGGAGGAGCCTCCAGATGTTGTCTCTAAGTTTCCAGTTTGAGGGTCCACCCCTCAATATAGGACGAAATGGCCAAGTGGAATGAGCATCTTCTAAGAATCAGGAGTCCTGGCTCTAAGGCTCTGCTGTGGCCTTGGGAAGGCCATCTTGTATCTCCAGGCCTCAGATTTCTCATCTGTAAATGGAGTCTAGGGTTCCTTCCACCTCCCTCAATCTGGGACTCTCTGACCACACTCACAGCTCACCTGTACATGATGTGGGTACACACGGTGATGTGTGGGGGCTGGCATCCAGTCTGACTTGAGCATCCGGGGCTGGCCAGCCAGGGCTGGGAGAAGGGGTGCTGCCTGTCGGTGCCTCACCAGCCACCTGAGACCTCTCTGCAGCATGATGTCCAGCTGAGATGTGCCAACTGAACCTCCTTACAAAGGCAAGCCTTCCTCCTGGTAGATGAGCACTGGCCCGAGGCTCAGACTCAGCCAATCAGAGCCTGTGTTGGTCCCCTGAGGGGCAGAGAGAGGGGCAGAGAGAGGGGCAGAGAGAGGCAGCAAGGGCATCCCAAGCCCCTCTCCCACTGCCAGGCAAAGCAGTGGGGAGCAGAACTAGAAGGGACATCCGGTAATCACAGGTTAGTAAGTTACAAATGCATTTGATTTCAGGAGCTGCCAGATGAATTTTTGTTTGTGTGAACCATGTGCCTGGAACAACTGAATCAATCTCAGAATGTTTTGCAAGCCAGGGTCACCAGGGTCACAAACAATGACCAGGAACCAGAGTGGATAACCTCAGTCTCTGCGTGTGAGGACAGATGGCCCTGATACCTCACCCCAGTTCTTAACTGTGTCTTGTTTCAGGAACCAGTTCATTTCTTCATCCAACAAATATTAATTAAGCACATATTGTGTGCCAGAGACTGTTCCAGACTTTAGGGATGCAGCAGTGAATAAAACAGATAAAGTCGATGTCCTCATGGGGCTTACATCCTAGTTGGTAATAACAAGTAACATTAATTGTTGTGCTTTCTGTACCCAGGCACTGTTCTGTTTCTCTGTTTTATCGTCTTTTTTAAAAAAAATTTATTTATTTTATTTTTGGCTGCATTGGATCTCTGTTGCTGTGTATGGGCTTTCTCCAGTTGCGGAGAGCGGGGGCTACTCTTCATTGCGGTGTGCGGGCTTCTCATTGCGGTGGCTTCTCTTGTCGTGGAGCACGGGCTCTAGGCACTCAGGCTCAGTAGTTGTGGCACACGGGCTTAGTTGCTCTGCAGCATGTGGGATCTTCCCAGACCAGGGCTTGAACCCGTGTCCCCTGCATTGGGAGGCGGATTCTTAACCACTGCGCCACCAGGGAAGCCCTGTTTTATCGCTTTTAATACTTATGCTATCTCATAAATAGTCCAAATTAAAATTTCACCAATTGTTCCTAAACCATCCTTCAGAGCATTTTCCCCTCGATCCAGAATCCAATTTAAGATCATATATTTCTTTAATCTCGAACAGTTTTTCAGCCTTTCCTTGACAGACACATTCTTAACATACCAAGCACATATACCAGATACACAAAGGAATGGTCTCCCATTCTTTCAATCTTGCTGTAGGAGACTCTTGTTACTGCCAGCTAGTGAACGGTAGGTGGCGTTAGACACAGCGCATAACCCTGTATAACCAACCGTCTCACAGAAATCAGAGGTATGCATTATTACTATCTGCATTTTACATGTAGGGAAACTGAAGCACAGAACAGTTAAAGTAAGGTGTCCAAAGTTGCACAGCTAGTAGAAGGCTATGTGCTGTGTATTTTTATTATAGTAATAATAATTAACCTTTTATGTGTACAAAGATGTTTACAGGTTACAGGTGGGACATCAGGCATTCCTACGGAGAAGGCAAGACAGAAAGCACCATCATCACCATCTTCAACCTCATCTTATACATGACTGTCTTGACACGCAGAGAGGTTACTTCAGGCTGGTTTGTAAGTGAGGAGCAGGGTCCAGAACAGGAATTCTGAGGCATCCCCTGCAATGTCCTATCAGGAAAGGCCAGCATGGTTCAAGATCCAGAGATACATCCCACTTCACAAGTGTTGGCCGCTCCAAATGGTCTTTGCTGGGTTGGAGAGAGAAAAATCCTGGCAGGCAACAGTCCAGGAGCACGTAGGGGAGACCCCTCCCCAATTCACACCCCGACCATCGAGCTGGTCCAGTCTGGTGGTGCCCTAGGTGGAGGCCCCTCCGAGGGGCTGGCTGAACTCAGAGTCGTGGCCTGCAGAACTCAGCCTACTCCAGGCCAGGCAGCGGGGCAGCCCAGCTGAGGAGCACAGGGCACGTGTGAGAAGACAGTGCACTTGCAAGAGGTAGGGGGGAACTCCGTGGCTTTGGAGACATCATGCTCTGGGATTCTGATTTGGCAGCCTCTTAGGTTAACAATAATCATCCTGAAGGGCTCTTTGTAGATTAATGAGAAGATTCCAGTTAAGTGCTCAGCTCAGAGTAGGTGCCCAAAAATGTGAATGTCCCTCTGTTCCCTTCCCCATATCCCTCCTGACCTCATCATTTCATCTTTTTAATAGTAATCTCTAGATGAAACACATATGGATTATTCTTTGTTTGGTGGATTATTTCCAGCAAATGTTCCATTTCAGGTTGACTCCCCTGCCACTCAGGATGTATCAGGACAAGTCAGGATGAACTCAAGTAAACACTAGCGACTTTTAATATTTAATAAAACCATCTATTATCAGAAAGGTAATTTGCTATTGCTTTGAGAAAGTAAATTCCAATGCACTTCAGACCTAGGGTTTAACGGCATTTTGCTTTTGCCGTTTAAGATTATTTATATATGTTTCCTCCATTAGCAGAGCTACGTGAGGGCCAATTATAATGCCTTTTATAAAATTGAAAACATGTTTTTCATGTATTATAATTATTTTCTCCTATATCATCTCACCTGCAAGTATATCTGTCAAAATACTTAAAAATTGGTTCACGCTCTTAAATGAACTTGCTGTGGCTTGATCTTGGTATCTATTACGTGGACAGGATAGCTGCCATCATGCATGTGGCTTGAGCAGAGTCATCTAAATCTGACTCAACATAGCCCAGTAGTCAGCTGATTATTTGTTTCAAATATATAAATCCTTTTGCATACAGCTAATGGCAAAGAGTAGAGGCTTGCCTTAGCAAGGAACACACAAAGCCACCGGGCTGACTTTGGTGTCAGGAATTCCTTTTAAGAAACAGATGGGGCACTTTCCTGGTGGCACAGAGGTTAAGAATCCACCTGCCAATGCAGGAGACACAGGTTTGAGCCCTGGTCCGGGAAGATCCCACATGCCGTGGAGCAACTAAGCCCGTGCGCTACAACTACTGAGCCTGCACGCTAGAGCCCATGAGCCACAACTACTGAGCCCGCTCGCCTAGAGCCTGTGCTCTGCAACAAGAGAAGCCACCGCAATGAGAAGCCTGCGCACCGCAACAAAGAGTAGCCCCCGCTCGCCGCAACTAGAGAAAGCCTGTGTGCAGCAACGAAGACCCAACACAGCCAAAAATAAATAAATAAATAAATAATTTTTTTAAAAAAAGAAAAAGAAACAGAGGGGAGTACAACTGAAACTAACACAACATTGTAAATCAACTATACTCCAATAAAATTTTTTTTAAAAAAAGGCTACACACAGCATGATTCTATCTGACCTCATCATTTCAACCCAGCAAGTATCAAGGCCATCACTGTGCCAGCATGAAAAATATAATAGTTGAAATAAGGAGCACATTATATACATATATATGTACATATACATATATCTACACACACATATATATAATAGCTGAAATGAGAGCATAATAGATGGAATATAGCTAAAACATGAATTAGAAAATCGGAAGAGCAAATTAAAGAACTCTTTAAAAAACAGAAAATATAAAATAAAGCTACAAGATATGGATAAGAAAAGTATTAACACTCAGTTAACTAGAGCTCAGGGAGAAAAAGACACACACACAAATTGAGAGGAAGAACCATTTGAATAAATCGTGGAGATCAATCTCCCAGGATTGAAGGGAGGCCAGAGTGGCTGGACCAGAGAAAAGGGAGACAATCTTTGCGGGGTACTACAGGCCCTGTTGAAGAGTTGTCGGGTTGGTTGGTTGGTTTTGTTGTGTGTGGGGGAGGGGGATTTGCATTTTTTTATTACGTTTTAATTGACGTATAATACAATCCACCCTTTGTTTTGGGGCCAAACCTGGCCAGGACATTATAAGAAAAAAAAATTACAAGACAAGATCTCTCATGAACACAGATACGAAAATCCCAAGAGAATCCAATTATTTATTAAAATGATCATAACCATGAGGTCATTTTTTCCAGGGAAAATACAGGTTGATTTAAAATAAGAAAATCAATCAATATAGTTCACCAAATTAACAGAATAATGGAGGAAAACTACATGATCACTTCAGTAGATAAGGAAAAAGCATTTGATAAAATTTAAGTTGGTATTTGATAAAGATAATCCAAAAACCAAGGGGAAAAAAATCCCTAGAGCTAACATTACAATTCATAGTGAAATATATAGACTCTTTTCAGAAAATAGTAGCAAAGTTTTTGAAAGTTGAGAAGATTAATTTGCAATAGTAGGAATTCCTTGAATATCATGAAATAAGTCTTGTGTCTGTAGCCAAATTTCTAAGAGTCTCCCTTCACGTAGTCTCAGACGCCAGTGTGAATCATTTTTGTCTCCTGAAAGAAGACGGGTGATGGAGGCAGAGGGCTGCTCTAAGGCACCTGCCTCACAAAATGTAGTCTATACTGGAGGAATGGGAGGGGTGCTGATAGGAGGATGACCTTTCCCAGGTCTCCCTAGAGATTTGTCTCCTTATGTAGAGGAAGATGTGGCTGCAACTTTTCTGAAATATTTCTGAGAGGTGTTTCTTGAACTTCTCACCCATGAACGCATAGATAATAGGGTTCACACAGCAGTGGGTGAAGGAAATGGTTTCTGTGACATGGGTGGCATAGATCAACCGCTGGCTCATGACGCATCCATCCAAGATGTGCATGTTGTGCAGGGAAGTAAGGAAAAGTACTACATTGAACGGGACCCAGAAGAGTAAAGAGACAACCACCACAACGAGCACGAGCTTGATGGCCTTGGTCTTGTTGTGGCTCTGGCAACTCTTCAGCTGGTGCAGGATGCTAATGTAGCAGAACATAAGGATGGTGAATGGGATCAACAGGCCTAAGATATTCATTTCAAAGTGGATGAAGATCTTCCACTTCAGCGTCTCTTGATTGTAATACAAATAACACTGTAGAACCCCATCAGAGGCCTCTTGGTAAAATACTAGTAACGGGCTGGTGGCCACAAAGGCAATCAGCCACATTGCCAGACTCAGGGCTATGCCCATTCTGGTCGTCCTCACTTTCATGGCGTATACAGCACGGACAACTGCCAGGTACCTGTCCACACTCATGAGGGTGACAAAGAACATGCTGCTAAAGAAGCCAATGTAATAAAAGCCAGAGACCACCTTGCACATTACAGTCCCAAACACCCACTGGTCCAGCTGATAGTGGGTCTGAAAGGGGAAGGAGAAGACAAAAAGCAAGTCAGACAGGGCCAAGTTCAAGAGGTATATGTCTGTGATGCTCCTCAGCTTCTTGCAGGTGACAAGGACCAGGATGACCAGGCTGTTTCCCAGAAGACCAAATACAAACAGGAGGCAGTAAAAGATGGCAAGAAGCAACTTGCTATCTCTTTGGGTAAGTTCCCCATCACAGGGGCTTGAGATGATATCAGGATAGTAGTAGTCAGTTATTGTCACATTGGGCTCAAGTGTATAATCCATCAAGGCAGGAAGACTTGGCCACAGAGGCACCTAAGAGAGATTCATTTAACAATATTTTTATTTAAAAGTATGGATTGAATTGTGCCTCTCGCCCCTCCCAAGTTCATGTGTTGAAGCTCTAAAGCCCTGTTATGGTCTAACTGTGTCCTTCCAAAATTTGTAGGTTGAAACCCTACCCCCATTGTGACGGTATTAGGAGGTGGAGCCTTTGCAAAGTGATTGGATTAGGTGAGGTCATAAGGGTGGAGCCCTCATGAATGGGATGAGTGCCCTTATAAGAATCACAGGAGAGCTTGCTTCCTCTCTCTGCTGTAGGGTTTGTGAGGATACAATGGGAATTTGGCAGTTTGCAATCTGGAAGAGGGCTCTCACCAGAACCTGACTGTTCTGGTACCTTGATCTTGGACTTCCCAGACTCTAGAACTGTGAGAAATAAATTTGTTGTTTGTCAGCCACCCAGTCTACGGTATTCTGTTATAGGAGCCCAAAGTGACCAAGACACTCCCAATGTCACTATATTTGGAGACAGGCCATTAAGGAGGTAATTTAGATTAAATGAGATCATCAGATGGGGCCCTAATCCAATTGGACTGGTGTCCTTGTAAGATGAGGACAAAGTGTGAAGGCAGCCCAAGAGGATCTCACCAGAAATCCAATTTGTTAGCACCTTGCTCTTGGACTTCTAGCCTCCAGAACTGTGAGAAAATAAATCCCTGTCATTTAAGCCACCCAGCCTGTGACATTTTGTGATGGCAGCTTAAACAGATTAATACAGGGGCTACATGGGACCTCTCTGCCTTTTCTACCCAAATTTGTAAATTTTCTGTAAACTTAAAACTTCTCTAAAAAGTACAGCCTATTAGCACTTTTTAAAAGCTGAAAACTGCCTGGGCTGACTAATACAGAGGGGTTGTGTGGGATAAGAAAAGCCAAAATTTGCAAAGAAAACTTAAATACCTATAGTTCTACCCCTCAGAATTAGCAACTGCTAGCATACTGCCATATTTGCTTTTGATTCTTTTCCTTTTCCTCCCTTCCTTCCTTCTGCAATGGAGATAAAGTGAAAGGAAGACTCAACATTTAAAACATGATCATTCTCTTATATTCAGGAAAGACACATATGCCCTTTTTGGCCAACTGCAGCAATGGAGAAGTTCAGCCGTTTTTCAAGTGCTTCAATGGCGACTCGAATCAACCTCTTGAAATCCCTTTCCTGCAATTCTGCCTTGTTTTCAAGCCCCTTTCGATGACTTTCCTCAAGACATTTTTCGATGACAGGTATCATTTACAACCCTGCAGGTGTGTGAATTGCAGTACCCCTGACCTCCATTTTTTAACTTGCTTTTGTAGGAACTGGTCCCAAAACAGCAGGATTGCTGCAAGTCCTAATCTGATTCCAGGGGCAAGCTGAGCCTTTGGTCAATTCGTCTTCCTGATTGGAAATTAGAGTGACATGTGCCTGTCCAAACACCTAGGGCTTGTTTCTCATTGGTTCCCCCCCTTCCCCTTCATCCTCTGGACAAATTCCAAGCTGTTCAAAACAGGATGTTGAAGGTGTGCATTCCCTAAGTGAGGAGATTGTTAGGAAAGAGGCCGGTGGGGAGAATGCGAGCAGCAGGAAATGAGGAGATGAGGCAACTTTTCCACACTCTTCCTGATCAGACGATGTACCATCCGCTGGGTTTCCCACACTTGCTTCAGCGGTAGGACGGTTCCCCTGCACCTGGAGTTTGGGGACCCATGGAATGGGGGGCAGGCAGTATTACTCTTAAGTGGCTACATTTGTTGACCCATCCTCACCAATTCTCTCAGCCCCACCAGTGTCCAGCCTTAGGTCTCATCCAGCTGTGGTTTTAGTGTGGTCAATCCTGGTTGCATCACACCCCCTGAATGTATTTTGTAAGTATTTATCTGTCTCTCACTGTGTTTGATTTTTTTTTAAATTTTCTTTATAATGGGGTATAGCTGATTTTCAGTGCTCTGTTTCTTGCTGCTGTACATCCACTTGATTCACTTACAGAGAGACATTAATAAATTCGTTTTCAGAAAACAAACAAACAAACAAAAACATGATCATTCTCCTCAAACTGATATTTATATTCAAGGCAATTTCAACCTAGACTTACTATTTTTCCGAGGCATTTGATTATTGAACATTCAGACATCCCTATCCACTATGCCACATTTCTATAATTTGAAATGCCAAGCAAGTTAGCTATTTTAAAAATATTAATTTCACTATGTGCACAAAATAGATTTTAAAACAGTTTCTGAAGAACGGAGGTGGGTCTTTTTTTTATGCGGCCAGAAACTTTCAAAACAACAGTCTCCCCTCCTACATCTTCCTCCCTACTTGTCTTTTACAGTTATTTTTAAAAACAATTTCCATTTCATGGTCCTTCTCTTCTGCTCTCCTAAGATCCTGGACTATGAGGAGGTCTTCAACTCATTTTCTTCCCCAGATCCTTCCTACTGATGCCCACTCCACACTTCCCCCGTGCTCTTTTATCATTAAAATCTGTGGAAAGTATTAGCAAGCTCTACCATTTATCACAGTGGACCAGGAATTTTAGATGCATCACCTCATTTATTCCTCTTGAATCCCTATGAAGCAGGCACTAATATCTCCTTTCTATTCCTGCAGTTACGATTATACCGAATCTCAGCTTCTGTCCAGTGCCTGAAGTTACACAGAGGGTGAGAGATTAGAGCCAGGACTCAAAAACCACATCTGTCTATTCCAATCCTTATTCTTTTCCATATTTCTCTATTTCGTGTGTTTAAAGAAAAAAAAAAAAGAGTAAAAAGCTCTTACCTTTTAGAATCTAGACCACCTGACTTCCAAGTTCTAGATTAGTTTGTAGCAGAGTAAACTTGGACTTGTTTTTCAAACTGAGTTTCAGGTTCCCCTCTGTGGAAGGGGGCTAAGAACGCTTTTCAGGGGTTGGTGGGACGTGCCTGAGGTCATTGAAGTTAGCATCTAGTTAGGGATGAACGTTTGCTTGCCAGCTTTGTTCCTTGAGAATAATACCCACATGTCTTCCTGTTATCTCACAGATGCACTGTATGCAGCAAATGGACAGATTCCTCCCCAGATGCCTGGTGACAGGAGGGATCTTTTCTTATCCACCTTCCCACTCTTGGAGGGGCTTTGACACCCTCCTAGCATCCTGCAGAAAAAAATGGCATGGCTTTCTTTCCTCCACCAGAGCCATGGACAGCTATTAAGACATATGCAGGGTTTGTAAACTCTGGGGATATGCAAAGAAAAAAAAAGTCACCTCCTTTGCCAGATTTCTGAAGTCATGGTGTTCCCTTTGCCTGACCCCAGGGACATAAAACTGTCCCTGCTTCGTACATCCTTCTTCCCCAAGGATGCTTAGTAATACATACCTTAATTAGAGCCTTCTTTCCAGAGGTTTTCAGTGTTGCTAATTCCCTTTTCTCAGAGTCTGCGCTGTCATGTGTTCTGCTCAGACGAGAACAGCTCCTCTGCAGGTATCTTATCTGTGGTGAGTGGCAGAATAGGGGTGGGTCTACTATCGCACCCTGCAGTGATTTAAAAAGTTTAAAAAAATGATCTCATATAGAGAACAAACTAGCGGTTACCAATGGGGAGAGGCAATGTAGGGGTAGGGAATTAAGAGGTATGAACTATTAGGTATAAAATAAACTACAAGGATATCATGTACACATGGAGAATACAGCCAATATTCTATAATAACTATAAATGGAGTCTAACTTTTAAAAATTGTGAATCACTATAGTGTACACCTGTGATATGTAATATTGTACATCAACTATACTTCTTTTTTTAAAAAAATGCTTAAAAATCATATATAGTGACAGCACACACAAAAAAACTAAAAATTAAAAAATAGATCTCACCAAAGAACACATACAGATGGCAAATTAGCATGTGATAAAACATTATTTCACTAGGGAATTGTAAATTAAAGCAACAGTGAGTTACTGCCACACACTTGTGATGTGGAAGAATGGCTGAAATCAAAACACCAAATGCTGGAGAGGGAGAAGATTAAGAGGAGCTTTCATTTATTGCTCATGGAAATGCAAACTGGTATAATCACTTTGGAAGACAGTTTGGTAATTTTTTATAAAGCTAGAATAGGCTTACCATATAATCCAGTAATCATGCTCCTGATTTTTACCCAAATGAGTTGAAAACATATCCACACAAAAACCTGAGCATGAATATTTATAGCATCTTTATTTATAATTGTCAAAAATTGGAATTGACCAAGATGCCCTTCAATAGATGAATGGATAAACAAACTGTGGTAATGTATATAATGGCATGTTATCCAGTGATTTTAGAAAACCAGCTATCAAGCCACAAATAGAAGTCTTAAGTGTATATTGTTAAGTGAAAGAAGCCTGTATGAAAAGGCTACATGCCATATGACTCCAACGATAGGACATTTTGGAAAAGGCAAAACGATTGAGACAGTAAATGATCAGTAGTTGTCTGGGGTTCAGGGGCAGGGGGATGATTCTTCCAATCCAAGAGCACGAGATATCGTTCCATTTCTTTGAATCATCTTCAATTTCCTTCATCAATGTTTTATAGTTTTCAGAGTATACGTCTTTCACCTTCTTGGTTAAAGTTTATTCCTAGGTGTTTGGGGTTTTTTTTTGTGGTACGCGGGCCTCTCACTGCTGTGGCCTCTCCCGTTGCGGAGCACAGGCTCCAGACGTGCAGGCTCAGTGGCCATGGCTCACGGGCCCAGCCGCTCCGCGGCATGTGGGATCTTCCCGGACCGGGGCACGAACCCATGTCCCCTGCATTGGCAGGCGGACTCTCAACCACTGCGCCACCAGGAAAGCCCCTTTCCTAGGTGTTTTTTTAATGCAATTTTAAATGGTAATTTTTTAAACTTTCTCTTTCTGACATTTCATTTTTCGTGTGTAGAAACGCAACAGATTCTTCCTTACGGTGGCGAGAAGAGGTGTTTCAGGAACAAAATTGTGAAGTGATGAACACATGGTTTATTTCTGCTGGT